GCGGGGGGCGGGGGGGGGAGGCTCCTGTGGTTTTGTCTTTTCTGCAGATGGAGACCCCGGAGGCCTGGAAGGAGTGGAATTGAGTTGTACTTCTTAGAGCTTGTTTTGGGAGTCAGCACCCCAAAGCAGAAACTGCCTTAGCGCGAGTCAGCTATGGCTGGGATTCCCTTCTTGAAGTGACTCTGTTGCCTTTGAGCTCAAAGACCCAAGCACTTGAGGGCTGCATAGTTTGCACCCTGACATTGCTGTTGGGGTAGTTTAGGCTGTGGCAGAAGTTACAGGACGATTTTGCATTTATTCATTCCTCCCATTTGCCTATCCTGGTTTGCCATAGAATACTCAGTCTCAAGGTTTGAGCAAACTCTCATTTTTAACTCTTGCCCAATTCTAAAATTTACTATAAATGCAGACGTGAATAAACAAATAACAGCTCAGCAAAACAAAAACAATGAATAACAGCTCAATCAACCAAGCAACCGAGAACATCCCATGAAATTTAATTGCGTCTCCAAGTCGTGATGTAGTAAAAGAATTCTCCCTCCCCAAATCCTGCCTGTTAATGGTTGTTAGACAAATACACTTAGAGCTTTTGTCTGTCAGGAAAACTCCTATTAAATGAGTTCTGTATACATTCTTTACTGTCTGTGATGATGACCATTTGCCAGCGGGCTGTGCTTAGTGAGGCTGTGAAGAGAAATTCTTCAAGCCAGACTATGTCTGTCTGTCTATCTATCTATCATTTATTTATGCTCAAATATAAATACCACTTGCCCAAACAGTAGAAAACACCAAAGGAGCACAAAATGGGTAGATTGTGTAATTCTGTCCTGCAAAGAGAATTAACATTTTAGTCTTTTTCCCTGTGAAGTTTCTCAGTATTTATAAATTCTTATACCTACTATGTATTTTAAAACAGTTTAATTCTCAGATTATCAGTTTTTAAAATACATTTTATTTTGCATATATAATGTATACAGCGGGTTACAAGACAAATATAATAAAGTAGTTATTATTGAACAGAATGAATATGTCTATTACCTCAGCAGCCAGTTTTTCCATTTCCATGTGAATGTGTCATGAGTATCCCTCTGTATCCTTCTATATGAATGTAGGTTATTTAAAGGTTTTTTTTTTTTTTCCTTTAGCACATGAGATGTTGGCTGGTGTTGCAGTTGGTCATTTCTGAAAAATTAGGATGAGCTTGATAAAATACAAAAGTCTTTCTGACTTCACATAATAACTACATGACATTTTAAAAATTGCTTCATTTGTCTCTTTTCAAGTGGATTATGTCTCCAGAGAAGTAAAACCGATTTAAGAGCCAGAATAAGAAACAGCAGCCAGAAGGAGCAAGAGGGTCTCTGTCTGGGACTGTGATTGTGGAGGAGCCTGTCTGGTCAATAGACTTGAGGAAGCTTTAAGTACATATTTACCTTGTTGGTGCCACACCATGAAGCTCCACTGATTTTTTTCCCCTAAAGCAAAGAAACTCCTTTAGTCACATTGACCTGACAGGTAGAAGAAGCACTGACCCAGAACAGAGCAATAATCCTCAGAGCTGTGTCAGACATCATCAGGTCCAACCCTCTTAGTTTTCAGATGGGGAAAGTGAACTACCCTGAGTGTTTCAGGTGGTTTACACCTGGTCCAATAGTCTGCCAAGCACAGAGCTAGTCTGCAGATCTAGTCACCTGCGTGTTCTCCTCGTCTTCGTGTGTTAACACCTCCCTGATTAGCTGTAACTGGTGCACATACATGTGGGACCAGGGCAAGACTACCCCAGCTGTTGGTGACCACCTCTCTTCCTTTTCCTTTCCAGAATGATCCATGTGCTGGATCCACGTCCTTTGACGAGTTCAGTCATGCCAATGGATGTGGCCATGAGAATTTGCTTGGCTCATTCACCACCCCTGAAGAGTTTCCTGGGTCCTTACAGTGACTTTCAAAGAAGAAATTTTGTGAATAAATTGAAGCCTTTGAAACCATGTCTCAATGTCAAGCAGGAAGCCAAATCCCAGAATGAATGGAAGCCCACAAATGACCAAGCCAAGAAGCGGGTTGTGTTTGCCGACTCCAAGGGGTTATCACTCACTGCTATCCACGTCTTCTCTGACTTCCCAGAAGAACCTGCGTGGGACCTGCAGTTCGATCTCTTGGACCTTAATGATATCTCCTCCAGCTTAAAACTTCATGAAGAGAAAAATTTGGTTTTCGATTTTCCCCAGCCTTCATCTGATTACTTAAGTTTCCGGGACCGTTTTCAGAAGAACTTTGTCTGCCTAGAGAACTGCTCTTTGCAAGAGCGGACAGTGACTGGGACAGTCAAAGTGAAAAATGTGAGCTTTGAGAAGGAGGTTCGGGTCCGAATCACCTTTGACTCCTGGAAAACCTACACAGATGTGGACTGTGTATACATGAAGAATGTTTACAGCAGCTCGGACAGCGACACCTTCTCCTTTGCCATCGACTTACCCTGTGTCATTCCCACTGAGGAGAAAATTGAATTTTGTATTTCTTACCATGCTAATGGGAGGGTCTTCTGGGACAACAATGAGGGTCAGAATTATAGAATTGTCCATGTACAATGGAAACCCGATGGGGTTCAGACACAGATGACACCCCAAGACTGTGCATTCCAACAGGTGGCGCCTAAGACTGAGTTAGAACCCCCAGTCTTTGGCAGTCCGAGGCTTGCTAGTGGCCTCTTCCCAGAGTGGCAGAGCTGGGGGAGATTGGATAACTTGGCCTCCTACCGATGAGTTAGATAGCCTATAGACTGGCTTTGTCTGATCACAATCCTCATGTGATTCTAGGTCTGTTATTGCTCAAAATTAGGAAGTCTTAGTTACTTTCCATCAGTAGGTTTAGGTATGAGCTCTTGGGGCCTGGCTATAGATAATATAGTGTCGGGGTCTTTGAGGGTGATGCCACCCAGTCTTGTTTTGGAGGATCAAGTAACAGCCTGGGAACTAGTTTTATAACAGTAACACCTTTTGGGGGGTGCATTCTTCCACTTCCCTCTCAGTTCACTAGCTTTCACTTTGGACAAGGAAAGGATTAAGGACAGTTGATGGTGATGGAACGCTGTGGTTAGGGTGTGAGGAACGTGCAATGTATACGCTAAGGGCTCTGAGGCTTGAGCCAGAGGAGGCGCAGGGGGGCTGATACTTAACCGTTGGTGGGAAAACTTTGTTGGGCATGTGTTTCAAAGTGGGTTTCACAGGTTTCTCCTGAGGAAATAACTCAAAAGGGAAAGAGGTCCATTCTATGCATTCTTGCATAGAAAAATAAAGGGTGTTGGATGGTACTGGGGGAAGACGAACTGTGGCTCTGAAGAATCAAGATCTTGAGGGCTAGAGATGTAGCTTGGTTGGTAGATGTTTGCCTAGCATGCATGAAGCACCATAAAACGGGGGATGGCAACATACGCCTCTAGTCCCATACGTTAGGGTGGAGGCAGGAGGATCACAAATTCAAGGTCATCCTTGTCACTTAGAAAGTTGGAGGTCAGCCTGGGCTGTCTCAAGGAGACAACAAGAAGACCTTAAGCGAATCCTTTCGGTTTCAACGTGGTCTATCACAAGCCATGTTTTGGGGAGTGTTTCACCAAATCCAGCTTTGCAGTCTTAACCTGATAAGTGACTTTGCGGTCGAGGCATCATTCTTGGGCTCTTGGTGCAGAATGCTGCCTGACACCAGTCATGCTGTCACCAATGACTAGCAGTATGTAGAGACTCAACATCAGTCATGTTAAAGGTTGACAGCTCTTTCGGTGCCTTGATTAAACCAGAACACTGTAGTAGCTGTTTAAACCGGTTACCTGAATGGCCATCTAATAACAAATGAACTTTTTTGGCCTTATTTGGAGGTCCATTCGCTGGCGTTCTCCTAAAATACTGTTGTATTTTCGGGAGCACTGTCAGTGTACACAAACTCACGTCCTTCATATTGAAGGTGACTCATCTCTCTGCCACACTTTTTTTGATGTGATGTTTGAAGTGGGGACTGACACCAGAGTCTCAGTGCAAGAATCCAGTACCTCTCGAATCCAAGTAGCAGTCTATCTCACGCCTACTTTTTGTCTTGCTGTTTTAATTTCAAGTCAAAGTGCTTTTTAAAAAGCAGATGTGGATTATTTTGAATGTGAACTGTTTTGTATGTACATGAATCCATTTTGTGAGATCTTGAGGGCAGGTGCCCTGGGATGTTTGCTGTTATTGTGCATGTTCTCTGGGGGGTGTTAGGAGAGTGCAGTGGATTGTAACACATGTGATCTGCCATGCTGCAAAAACACTATTGGAATAACTCCACTCTGACAGCATTTGAGGTTTGGCTAGCATCCATAAGTTCTCTGCTGTAAATATCTACACTGTCCCGCATGAGTCTCTTGCTTTAAGAATAAATGTGCTTGGTAGAAGAACCGAGAATGTTTTCTTTCCCCAAACCATAACCAGTCAAACCAGAGGCTTAGCAGTTGGAGTCCTCCTGTTTGGCCTAGCAATGACCAAGCAGAGCTGGTCTGGACTGGGAAATGGATCCACCTGTGGATAGTCACATGCTTCAGTCTCATTAGTGACCAAAGGTCCTACCTCCTGACAGCTGGGGCTTGGATGCAGAGGCGGTAGCTTAGCAGCTGTAACTGTCCCTATCTGTGGTTACTTCTCTCCCATGCTGTCTTCTGGGCCAGGCTTATCTTGGATGGTACCTGTCACTTTTGTAATGGGGAGGGAATGATGTCGGAAGTGTTGGAATGGCTCTTACTTTTTGAGCTCTAGTACCTTCCTGAGGGACAGAACTTGGAAGTGCAGAGAGGACCCCAGGAAGGGCCCATGGGTGTCAGTCTTGGGCTGAAGGGGGAAGCGCAGCTCTTTACAGGGAGTCAACAGGTTCTTGAACCTCAGCTGCTTTTTCAGTTTTGCCTGAAATGTGTATAAAATTCTTCACACAGTATTTTTTTTTTTAAAAAACCTCTCTGATCAATTTTTTTCATACAGTATATTTTGATCATGTTTTTCTCTCTTGCCAAATTCCTCCCAGATTTCCCCACCTCCCTACCTATTCAACTTTATGTTTTATCTCTCCCCTTAAACAACAGAAACACCCCTCCCACACAACATGGAAATCAAAACCAACCAGCAAAAGACCAATAAGATACAAACATGCCCAAGCAAAGCAAAATGAGACAAAAAGTTTACAAAAATACCACTGAGTTTGTTTTGTGTTGGCCTAGGAATGGAGCCTCCCCTGAAGTGTGGTTAATACACCCAGTGACACGTCATTAGAGGAAACTGAGTTTTCCTTTGCCTGTGGGTATTAGCTGCAGACAGCTTCTTGATTAGGAGTGGGAGTCCATGTCTTCTCCCCTCTCTCAGTGCTGGGACCCATCTGGCTTGAACCTGTGCAGGCCTTGTGTGTGCCATCACAGTGAATTCATATATACATCAGGTCTTTTGTGTCTGAAAGAACTGCTTCCTGGTGTCCTCTATCCCCTCTGGCTCTTACAATCTTTCTGCCTCCTCTTCTGCAAAGCTCCCTGAGCCCTGTGGGAAGAGCTTTGATGAAGACATCTCCTTTAGGATAGAGTGCTCCCAAGTCTAGCACTTTGCACATTGTCGAGTTGTGGTTCTCTGTTTAGATACTATCTTAAGTAGAAGGGGTAATCAATGACTAGCCAACTAACAATGCTGAATTACAAAGAATAAACCTTTATAACATAGCATCCTCTGTCTGTATGGAGGGCTATAAACTATAAGTTGACCACGAATGTATTTTATTTGGTACACAGATTTTTGTTGGGTTCTTTTTAACAGAGACTGACTTTATAGCCTTAGATGGTCTGAAATTTTCTATGTAGACCAATTAGTCTCAAACTTGAATCACTCTGCCTGCTTCTGCCTCCTGAATGCTGGGATTACAAGTGTTCACCAGCACACCTGACATGGATATTTTAAGAAAAATTTATTGTCAAGGCATAACAATGAGCAGACTTGTATAAAACACACAAATGCCAGTTTTTTCTTTAAAAACTGCAAGCTCTGTCCTCCTGGCAACAACTGTGTGGAGCTGAACAGCAGCCACCCCCTTTAGATAGGGCATGCTGCCCTTAATAGGGCAAGCATGGAGTGTTTGCCAAAAGCCTCTACCCATGGCTGTATTCCGGTATACTGTTGGCTGGTCTCTGAAGGCTGTGGTCAGTGTTTTGTTCCTTCTGGTTCTATTCATGATAATGATTGTGTGAGGAACACTCTCTTCCAAGAGATGGATAAAACTCAAATTGAGGATTGAAAACCATGAGACTCAAATGTAAACTTTATAAAAGAAAATAAGATGGGGGGGGGGAGGCTAGTTCTACCTGTGCCAGGCTGGTCAGTGGCTTTTGGCCTCATGTTCCTTCCTGCTCTTGACGTTTCTTGAAGTGTCCCAGGAGATCCTACTTTTTAATAGCTGGGGGAGCTGAAAGAAGGAGCTGTTTCAAGGCAGACATTCAGGCAGCTCTTAACTGCCTGTGTCTGCTTCACTTGGTGTTGGGACATTTGAGGGCTGCCTGAGGAAGAATCTAGTCAAAGAGGAGTGTGCTTCTAAGGAATGTAATTGTTCCTGGTTCGTATTCTGTTTGGAATTCTGCCTGTTAGGAGAAACAGGGTTGTCTTTAAGATTAGCACAGGGGGTGGTTAGATGACTCAGTAGTTAAGAGCTATTCATGCAGAAGACCTGAGTTCGATTCCCACACCCATGTTGGTTGACTCACAACTGCCTATAACTCCAGCTCCAGGGGATCTGATACTCTCTTCTGGCCTCTGTGACATGCATTCTCTCTCTCTCTCTCTCTCTCTCTCTCTCTCTCTCTCTCTCTCTCTCTCACTCACACACACACACACACACACACACACAAATAAATAAAAATCCTTATAAAAAAAGATTTAACACGAGGAGAGACTGGGGAGATAGCTCAGTTGAAGTATGTGCTGAACTAGAATGAGGACCTGAGTTCAGACGCCCATATCTATGAAAATCAAAGATGGGCGTGGTAGCACAGTGCTTGTAATTCCAGCTCTGGGGAAGCAAAGTCAAAGAATCCTTGGGGCACCTCAGCCAAATCAGTGAACTCCAAATCAGTTAGAAACCCTGTCTCAATAAGCAAGGTGGAGAGCAATGAAAGAAGATACCTGATATTGACTTCCGGCTTCCACATGTCCATGCTCATATATCCACACACAATACACAGACACACATGCACCACACAGACACACACACACACCACACACATACACATGACACACAGACATCACACACACACCACACAGGCACACACATATGACACATAGACATACATACACACATCACACAGACACACAGACACACCACACACACCACAAACATACACATGACACACAGACACACGCAAACACACACACAAAAAACACATGATACAGACACATACCACACAGACACAGAGACACAGACACCACACACACACACACACACACACACACACACACACACACACACACGAGATTTAACATGGAGGAGAATGGCTTCTTTTAAGCTTGGTGAATGCTTAACTCCTCCAGTTTTGAAGAACAAGGTGACTAAAATAGTTCAGAGGAAACTTCTAGCATTTTTGTTTGTTTACTTTTATTTTTGAGACAAGGTCTCATGTAGCCCAGGTGTCTTCAAACTCACTATGTAGCCAAGGATAATATTGAACACCCGATCTTACTCCTTCGAATGCTGAGATTACAGGTATGAGCTGCCATGCCTAGCTTCTTTACTTTGTGTGTGTGTGTGTGTGTGTGTGTGTGTGTGTATGTATGTATGTGTGTTTTCCCCCCCAAACAGGTGATAAAATGGAGGTCCAGAGATAAAAACTTGCTGGACCATGTGAGGAGAGAAGGGGAGGGAGAGCAAGGAGTCAAGAGTCTGGCCAAGGGAGTGATGTAGCCAAAGTGGCTGAGTTCTATAGGGGACAGAGGAGTTGAGGAAGGGGCAACCTAGCCCCTGAGCTGGAGAGTTCAGGGTAGGGGGCAGTGAATGTCAGTCAAGAGGACCCTATAACAGGTAGGGATGGATGGATGCTGGGAGAACCTGGCAGCCAGATCTGCTTTGATGTGTTAATAGCCATTTTAGTCTTAGTCCAGAGTTTGAGAGCTAACATTGGGGTTTTATCTTATATTTGATACTCTCTGAATAACTTCAGAAACTGAATGTTTTGAACTGACTTGCAAGGATGTTTGTTGTGGCTTAAATAGGAAACACACTCCTGCAAAGGCTCTTGTGTTGGGCTTGGTCTCTGGCAGGTGGGACTGTCTGGCAGGCAGTAGAAACTTGAGGGAGATGAGGCCTAACTGGAAGAAAGTGGTCACTGGGTGCCCATCTTTAAAAGGGGTAGTTTATCTCCAGCCCCTTCCTCTGAGTGTTTCTGATTGAGTCATGTGAGGTGAGGGGTCACCTCGAATGAGCCCCTGTGCATGAGCCTCTGTGCATGCTCCTGTCCCCATGATTCTTCTGCCTTCCCTCAGGCACAAACCAGCCGAATCCTGAGACTGAGGCTTGAGACTATTGAAACTGAACCAAAATAAACTCTTCCTCAAGTATCTCCCCCCTCCCCAGTATTTGTCAAAGTAACAAAAGAGCTAACTAGTACAGTGTTTTCTAGGCTGTTCTAGGTAGTCTCACGAGGGACATTAGTTCACTGTGACTAACTGTGTAATAATCTTACTCAACATACTTTTACTGAAATCACTTGTTTATTTAGCCCATGTCTCCATTGCACCGCTTAGCTTTTTTGGTCAATGTGACACAAGTTAGAGTCATCCTGCAAGAAGGAAGTCAACAGAGAAATGCCTCTGTCAGATTGGCCTGCAGGCAAGCCTGTGGGCATTTTCTTGATTGATGATCGAAGTGGCAGGACTCAACTCACTGTGGCTGCCATGCCTGGGCAAGTGGTCCTGGGGTTTATGAAGACAGCAGGCTGAGCAAGCCAGTAAGCATGGGCTCCACTTCAGTTCCTCTCTTGGCTTTCCTTAGTGGACTATGACCCGGAATATGTAAATCAAACCCTTTCCTCCTCAAGTTACTTTTCCTCAAAGTGTTTTTATCACAGCAATAGGAAACAAAGAAATTCACTTCTCCCATGTGAATTTCTCCTAGATTCTTTTGTTCCTTGTTTTTTTTTTGTTCAAATTAGGAACAAGCTTGTTTCACATGTCAATCCCTTCTCCCTCTCCCTCCCCTCACCCCCATCCTTCCTCCCCCATCCCCAACCTACTCCCCACCCCATCCACCCTCCACTCCCCAGGCAGGGTAGGGCCCTCATTGGGGGCTCCACAAAGTCCACCACATCATCCTGGGCTGGGCCTGGGCCCTTCCCCATGTGTCCAGGGTAAGAGTGCATCCCTTCACGTGGGATGGGCTCCCAAA